TGTTAGCCATCGCGGGTCGGAGTTGCAGTCAAGCTTGTCAGCATGTTGTAGATCTGGGCATCGGAGATCGGGCCTTGGTGTCGGATGTGGGTTGTTTTGCTCTAGGTGGTCGCCAGTGAGGGAGATCTTGTGAGTCTACTCGTGGAGGAACGTCAGACAATGTTGTGGGTGTTTATAAAGTCGTTACATAGCTCGGGTGGTCATGCAATTTGTGAAGAGATGTGAATTCCGGAGCGGAAGCAGTAGAACGCGTGCTTGAATTTCTTTCGAAAATTCAAAACATAGAAAAAATATAAAACAGGGAAGAATTTTGGATTTTACCATTGAAAACTCTTCTTCGTGTAAACCCAATGAGACAACGAATCCAAATTGTGAGATCCAATTGTAAGGGATTGAGAGATCTTTTTAGTATATATTTATAGAGGAAAAATCCTAAGACCATCAAGATATCTTTTTCTTTTGATATATAATATCTTCTCCTAAATCTAGGAGATGATATCTTTCTTTTTTGAATTCGCATAGGGACTTTTCTCATCCATAATATTAGCCACACTCTCATAATACATAATATTAATTCTGAATATTTATAAAAAATTAACATATATTTATATAATGCATATATACATTATATATATTCCCTTATATAATTTGAACATTTCAAATTATTTCATAATTCTGGATCTTTGTTTTACCCGTTGTGAGCTAGCAAGGGGTCCTAATTGACCTACAGATCAGAAGCTCTAATGATGTGAGATTAATCAGTCAAATTCATTAATCGAGTTAATCAACATTCGTTAACGACGGGTCACTCTACTAAAGACTCGCAGTTGCACTCTTCTCACTGCATAATATTTTTGTGTCCACGGATATATGTACGACCAATAACGACAAGTCAATCATTCACGAGTGCTTGTAACTCTAATTGGGTCAAATTATTGTTTTACCCATGAGTTACATCTTGCTCCTTAAATATCACTGCTCCTCTAATGAACAACAATGTTATGGTCTGACCAATAATATCGGAAGTCCCTCTTGGACTAGTGAGAGGGTGGGGCCCATTGTGCAAGTCCTTGAATCAGCATGTAAGGGAACACTTATCTACTTCCCTAAAGTCGGGAAGGAGTAAATTCCATATTGCGTAGTTATGTTTCCAGCTCCCCACTCTGTCTCGTCCCCAAAATGGCAGGATTATTGAGTCGGCAACTTGGGTCACTCTCACCCATACAAATGAAAGGACGATCCCTTATAGGCAAGAGTCCATAACTCGCTTAGGATTAAGATCGAGTTACATGGTCATCCTATGAGATAACAATCTATTAATTAACGATGTTATAACCAATAATTCATTATTTCGTGGTATGGTCTTATACAAACTTATTGTATAGGATACCGCCACTCGCATGTCTCTACATGAACGACTTGGATAAAGTCTTTTGTAACTATTACAAAACGGGTCGTATCCATAGTGTTACCAGAATAAGGTACCCAACCTTATCCATGTACTATAGACCATTTAGGTTATTATTGGAACATCATCCACTTATTGTATATCAAATATATGCACTATATATTAAATATACACTATATATAAAATATATATTGTTCAAGTTACATTAAATAACCTTGGATCTTAGTTTATTAAAATAGAGTAATGCAAAGAAATAATAAAAATGATTTTTATTAATAATAAATAAAATGTTTACAAATTACAAATTCACGAGTTCAGGATACCAAACCCAATAATTTGCGGGGCGTTGTTCGCACTAGTTGCCGCTAGACATCATCGGAGAAAGATGAGGTGACTATTTAGAGTGGAAGAGAAATAGGAAGAGAATTAGTTTTTTTTTTCTCTGGGAGGTGTGTATTTGAAGATTAAAATAAAAAATTGTATTATATTATAGTTGTTGGAATATATATTATATAATTTAATGGTTTAGTATATATAAGATATTATATAATCTTTTGGAAGAGGTTGAAAAAAACAAAAGTATGTATTATATAACTTTTGAATGAGTATATGTTTAATATATTGTATATGAGAAGATTATTAAAAATATTATTATATAATGGTTTTTGGAATATATGATCTAAAGGAAAAAATAAATATATATTGGGTATATATTTCAATATATGGATATGTTGAGTATATGTTTTTATAATTATATCAAAATTTTTGTATTTAATTTTTTTTTGTGGACCGTACGTTGGGTATATGTCAAAGTATGAAGTTAATATATATTAGATTTTGGATATATGCCTCATATACTTCAAAGTATCTATTATATAACATAATATTTGAGTATATATTATTATATAATGGTCATGAGTATACATTTATCATTGTAAAAAAAAAAAAAAGGTGACGTGGGGAAAAAATTAAGTTGGAAAAAGAATTTTGATTAGGAAAGGAAGAATTTGATATTAAGTGTGAAACAAAAAACAAATTCAATTAAATAAAATAGTAATAATTAAGGGAAATCTTGAGATTAATTTTTTTTTTAAAAGATGAAAATCCTAGAAAAGCACAAGTCAAATATATAGTTTCTAATATGAAAATTCGTATCAGAATTATACATTCGTTTTTAAATTGAAGGAAAAAAACTAAAATTATAAAATGTCGTTAAAAAGCATTACTTAAATATTAATTTAAAGTTTTAAACCAAACTGATAAACTAAAAGAAAGGGAACGTCTGGTCTGGGACTACAAGGTCAACCGTAGATCGACTTCAACTTGACCTAACGGTTACTGTAAACTGACTTTTTTTTTTTTTTAAATCTTTTTGAAAAAAGAGTTAAAAAAGTTACCAATTTTATTCATCGGCGTGAACAGAAATTTAGCAGACGAAGATGGTTACAAATGAACTACGTACGAGATTACGTAAAAGCCCCGGGATCAAGGCGAGCGCTTCGACAATCAGGTAGGGTAGTTTAGTCAGGGGATTAAGAATTGAGAACGTACGGTACCGCCATTAGTATACTAATAAAAGCTGTGTGTTCGTCTTCGTCTATGGCAGAAGAAGAAACCGTAAGATCCCAAATCAATTAGTGGTTTCGGTTCCATCTCTCTTCCTCTCTCCTCCCTCTTTTGTTAACCCTATCTTCATCTTCCCCAGCACAGCCAATTTCAGTGTTACATTCCTTTTCTTCGATTTGGGGATCTGCTAATTCATTGTTAATTTCTCTGTTTCTTCTCTCTGTTTTTCCTCAATGGCGTGTGATAGCTTCAGCGACAAGAACGCGGTATTCAGGAAGCTCAAGGCGAAGTCGGAGAACAAGGTGAAAGTTAAATTAGGGATTTAGAATTATTTGTTGTTGGAAAATATTGGAGAACGAGTTGAGATGAATTCAAATTGTTTTGGTTTTGTTGTTCTGTTCAGATCTGTTTCGATTGTAATGCGAGGAACCCTACTTGGGCGTCGGTTACGTTCGGGATCTTCCTCTGCATCGATTGCTCCGCCGTTCATCGGAGTCTCGGTGTCCATATAAGCTTCGTCCGGTGAGAATCTACCTTCTAATTTCAACATTTCAACTTCGATCTGCATCCACATTGTGTCAAATCTCATGGATCTGAAATTGTTTTAGGCGTTCCTGATTTAAGCTCATCTTTGAACTTACATTTTGGTTTCCGTAATTTCTAATTGTATTTTCCATGAACTTACATTTTGATAATATCTAGAACGGATTCATTTATTGCTGTGCTCTTTTATTCTAAATTTAAGTTATCATTTACGTTCTGAATTTTTAAAATTCTTAGCTAATTATGTGTGGTAGGAAAGAAATGATTACATAAAATAACAATTAAAATTTTAGTGGTGCAAGTGTAATGGGATGTTTTATAGTTTAAAAATTAAGTACAACAATTTCAAGGCTAAATTCATAATTTGATCGCCTATATTAAATTTAATAAAATTTTTATTGTATAAATTAATCTGAACAAATAGGAAAAGAAAACACGAAACAAAATCGGGTAGTCCCAACAATGGCATTGGAGGAAAGGGAGAAAATTAGTAAGTTCATTAATTAGTAATTTACGAGGCATGTTTGAAAACTGTTGAGTAGGTCTACAAATTTGGACTCATGGTCACCGGAGCAGCTGAAAACGATGAGCTTCGGCGGAAACAGCCGTGCCCAGGCCTTCTTCAAGCAGCACGGCTGGACAGACGGCGGCAAAATCGAAGCCAAATACACTTCCAGAGCTGCAGAGTTGTACAAGCAAATTCTGTCCAAAGAGGTTGCTAAAACTAAAAGCATGGCAGAAGAAGAAGAATCCGGCCTCCCCTCTAATTTACCCGTTTCTTCAAAACCCATCAATGGCAATGGCAATGGCAATGGCCTCCCCCACATCAGAACCGATAACCCTTCTAAGAAACAAGAAGCCCCTCAAATCTCTGTTTCTGTAGTCTCCATCAAGAAACCCATTGCTGCCAAAAAGCCAGCGGGCAGGACCGGCGGACTTGGCGCAAGAAAAATTACCACCAAGGTCACTCTCATTTTTCAATTGATTTAAATTCCCCTTCATGTGTTGCGATTGTAATAATGTGAATAATGGTGCAGCCGAGTGAGAATGTGTACGACCAGAAACCGGAGGAGCCAGCGACGCCGGTTTCGACGTCGACGGCCTACGGTGGACCGGCGAGTGCTTCCCCGTTTGGTTGTCGGTTTGAGTATTTGGAGAATGCGCAATCTAACTCGGAGGTGAATTCTTCTACTGGGTCTTCGCCTGTGTTGGGGCATGTGGCTCCACCCAAATCTTCTTCCTTCTTCACTGAATTCGGATTCGGGATGGAGAGTGGGAACCCGAACCCGAACCCGAATCCGAAGAAGTCGAGCTCCGCCAAGTTCCAGATGGAGGAAACTGAGGAGGCGAGGAGGAAATTCTCCAACGCCAAATCCATTTCCTCTGCCCAATTCTTCGGGGGTGACCTGCAAAAATCTGCCGACTCCGATGCCAAGGCTTCGTTGCACAAGTTCTCTGTAAGACCGTCGCTTCGTTTGTAAATTCTGTTGGGTCTGATTTAAATTGTCCAAAGTTCAAACAATTGAATTGACAAGAATGGGGATTTCGAATTTTTGAAGGGTTCATCGGCGATATCGAGTGCGGATCTGTTTGGACAGGGAGGAGATGATTCGACTCTGGATCTTGCTGCAACAGATCTCATCAACAGGATTTCTTTCCAGGTGAGAACTGAAGATGCAAGAGGGGTAATCATTATGGGCCTGGGTTTGATTTTGAATTTTGAATTTGTTTGCAGGCCCAGCAAGATATATCTTCGCTGAAGAACATTGCGGGGGAGACGGGGAGGAAGCTGAGCTCATTGGCCTCCACGTTGATTACTGATATTCAAGACAGAATTCTTTGATTATTCCAACAACAACTGTTGAATGCACATTTGCAAATTACAATACTATTGTTTTGCCAGAAGAACAACAGCTTTATATATTGTTGCTTACTTCTTCTTCTTCTTCTTCTTTTTTTTTTTTTGAATTACCACTTGTATTTTTTATTTTTATTTTAAATTTTTTTTCACCTAGTGATTGATTGTAAAGAATTGTGCATCACAAATCTATTGTTATTATTTTTTTGTTTTCTGAAACACAAATAAGATCGTTTCAACATCTTGTAACACAACTCTCTCCCTCTCTCAACCCTCTCCCGTCCGTTAAGTCGGTTTACGATTTAGTTTGCTAAAACAAAAAACAGTTAAAATAAATGAATTCTGAAAATCTCATAAACAAAACAATGTATATATATACTCCGCACGCAGATGTAGTCAATTAATCCACGAAAATCCATCCACATCCATCAATCAAGCATTATGAGCGATGTGGTTCAAGAATCGTGTGAAGCCCAAAAGGGCGAAGAAGAGGCGTTGGATCAAACTAAAAGAAAAGAGATATATATATATAAAGGAAGTTGTTGAAGACGTGCATGCATGCAAATTGATTTGTCCAGAATAAGAGAATCGATTACTTATATAATTCAAGAAATATTAATTAAGAAAGTAGAACAGCTCCCATCTTCTTACAATATATATATATTATAAATCATCTTCTTTCCCCAATCTTTGGCATGTATATCCTCTTATGAATAGTTTAGGGAAAGAAGGATAAAATGTCTTACAATATATTTGACTTTTTTAGCTTCTTATTATCATGGTAAATAACATATATTTGGATAATGAGCAATTGCCAGACGAGAAATTGTTTATCAAGGAGCATATCCACCGTGGCCACTGCCCTCTCCGCTGCCACCACCTCCACCATATCCACTACCTCCTTCATGACCACCACCGTATGCTCCGCCATGCGCGGTGGCACCTCCTCCTCCATATCCCGACCCTCCTCCACCACTGCTTCCTCCTCCGCCGTGTCCACCGCCCGCTCCGCTCCCATAACCACCGCCGTGCTCTCCTCCGGGACCATATCCTGCTCCTCCACCACCACCACTTCCACCACCCCCTCCATACCCAGCACCACCAGGACCGCCATAGCCGACTCCGCCACCGCTTCCACCACCACCTCCATATCCAGCACCACTGGCACCACCATAGCCGGCCCCGCCGCCATTTCCACCGCCACCTCCATATCCAGCACCAGGGCCACCATAGCCGGCCCCGCCGCCACTTCCACCGCCACCTCCATATCCAGCACCGGGACCACCATAGGCGGCTCCGCCACCACTTCCTCCACCCCCTCCATATCCAGCACCACCAGCACCACCATAACCGGCTCCGCCGCCATTTCCACCACCTCCTCCATATCCACCACCCGGACCATAACCGGCTCCTCCACCACTTCCTCCACCACCTCCGTATCCGGCACCACGTCCACCAGCCGGACCATAACCTTCACCGCCTCCACTTCCGCCTCCACCTCCATACCCTCCAGCGCCATATTCTCCTACGGAACCGTAGCTGCCACCACCACCACCTCCGTAGCCTCCACCACCTCCGTAACCGCCAAGAGCACCGTATCCGCCACCGCTGCCGCCGCCTCCACCATGGCCTACACCATAACCAAAGGGAGGAACATAGCCAGGTTGTTCACCTCCGCCATAATTCAACAGAGCTCTTGCTGCAGAAGAAACCCCAATGCCTAATAAGAGAAAGAACACAAGAGAGGGAAGTTTTTGAGAAGCCATTTTGTTTATCGGTTGAAGTGAAAAGGGAGGGAGTGGAGAGGTATATATAAGGAGATGAGGGCCCAAAAGCGCAACTTGTGTACACTACACAGAGTGGTTGAGGCACATGCAAAAGAGAGAAAGTGGGGGAGTGGGGTGTGGCCCAAAATCTAAATTTATGCACACAAGATTTGGACAATTCTCATATAGGCCTTACCCTTATTCACTCACTCCATATTGCAAAATCAGTGTGTTTATGCTGTCCTCCACTCTCTTCTTCCTCTTCACTCCCACCTACTACTGCAATTCAATTAATATTTATCACACTAATGTCAATATACCTACTACTGCAATTCAATTAATATTTATCACACTAATGTCAATATAGTTCAGCAGTAATTGGCATCTACTCCTTCTCTTGAGGTTCGGTTCCTATATCTCTAAATTGTTGTACTAAAAAAAATAAAATTGATTTTTATCACGTTTTTTTATCAACATCAAAATAGTCTTGTAATTCCCATCTTTCAATCTCGTTTTTTATGTTTGTTAAAGTGAGCGTAGCTCAACAGTAATTGACATATACCTCCAACCACGAAGTTGTGAATTCGATCCCTCACCCTCCACATGTTGTACTAAAAAAAAATTCGATTTTTATGTTTGAGGTGATTAATTGAGTAGCGTCCATTGACCCTAATTAAATACAAAATAAAAGTCTTCGACTATATCATTTCTTGTTTTATATTTTCAGTGTTTAAGAAGCATAAAGTTGGGTAATAGTTCCTTATTTCTCATTCTCACTTTAAAAAAATATTTTTAAAGTTGTATACAAATTTGGGAAGGAAGAAAATTATTTGATTTCTTGTTTTTTATTCTCACTCGCTATATTTTCAAAATATAAAAATTTAATTCCTTTTGGTTTTAAAATTTTAGAGAACGAACAACAATTGCATCCTGTAAAGTTCGTCTATTCCTTTCAAGCCAAAGATTTCAAATGGTAGCTACAATGCAATGAACTTTAAATTTTTGGGGCTGCAATCATATAGCTAGTCATTCCTTGATATAAGAGCATCATTTTTTGAGGTAAAGAAAATTCTAGGACAAAAATATACACGAATCTATGCGAAAGCCAAGATGTCAAAGAACATGTGAGAAAAATATGAACCAAAGATTCTGATTGAGTGCGGTATAACGAACACCATTGAGGCTGAAGAGATTATCAAACATGTTTCTATTATTTTTTTTTAATAAAAAGAAAAAGATAGAAAAAAAGAGTTATAGTTACCGAATCCTGTCATGTTTTCCTCTATTACGAGGATATATCAATATGTCTAAATTTGAGTTTAAACTTCACCCCTACATATTATTGTAATATAAAAAAAAATTAAAAAGAGAAACTAAGTTCATCCTTCATAAACCACGCCTTTTAACAACAAATTAATTAATTTCCTACCGTTAATTGATTTTATCCATATTGCATGCAAACAGAGATTTATTCGTAAATATTGTATTTTGAGTAGCAATGATTTCGAATAGACTATGGTTATATTATTCTTGTAGACGATTGTGGAGAATGATTAATTACAATATAATGTGTGAAAGTGTGGACTATTGTATTTCTTTATAGTTAAAAGAGAGGTAAAGTATTTAATCATATCTTTTGTTTAATACCAAAATTTAGAAGAAGGTTGAAAAACATACATTGATTAGGTATCCACTGAACCAAAAGTGAGAGCCAGCAGTCACCACCTTTGAAAAGAAACACATTGGTGGAAACAAATATTATATACATATTAGTGGGTACTCACATGCACACAATAAAACACAAATAATATAATACAATAGAAAAAACATTCGACTATTTTTCCTTAAATATATTTCAACAAAATTACTCCATTAAATTGAGAGCTGCCCACCTTAGTATCTAGGCCCACCTACATTACGTGGTTTGAATTCATTCCCAATAATTCATATGTCACAAATAGAATTCTTGAATATGATTATGGTTAAATTATCAGTTTGGTCTGAGACTGTTTATTTAGTTCATATACTTTTGAAACTTTAAAATCTATTTCTATGTCTATTTAGTTTCCGTATTTGAAAATGTGTTCAAATAAATTTGCCCTATATGAACTCCATTAATATAACAATTACATACTTGTCCAAAAGCAACCGCCATGCAATAATCTTTTAATAATATAATCAGTGTGCCATAAAAAAACAACATTAAATTTATACAGTCAACAACGTAAACCCTATTAGACAACATCAAATTTAGTAAAAGAAAATACTTTGTTCCTTAACGACGAGGACCAAATATTAACATATTTAACTGTGGTGAGGACAATGGTTGTCCCTTACCTACGTTGAAGGAGCCAAGTATTTTCCTTTTAACATGTAATGATCAGAGGATAAAGTTTGGCTCCTCACCAGTAAAGAATAACTTTGTCTTTACTACCATAAATATTTGAAAACTAATTTTTTTTAAAGATATTTTTATGTTTGCATTTCTCTCTCTTAATTGTCAAATATGTAATGATTGTAAGATTGCTTTTTACTAACCATGAGCCAAAGTTTATCCCCCATTAGATAGGTACACAGCCTTCAAAGTGTAAGAAACTATTAAAGGCTTTAAAATTATACAAGGACTAAGTAGATCCAAATGGATGTTTTGAACTACATTTAAGTGCTTATCCATTAACACCCATCCTCTTGATTTCCACCAAACTTTGTCAGCATTTTATTATTTAACAAAAAAACATAAATCTTTTCTTTTTCACATTCCTCTTTTATATTTATAAAAAGATTTAATGGTTGCCAGCAAAAGATAAGGACAACTACCGACAAACATCTAACTATTATTTAGATGTTTTAGTCGCTAAACATATTTGGCTCCTCATAAATTTGAATTAAATCTTGTTTTGACCACTGATAAAAATTGACAACTCACTATTTAAAAAAAATGTTTTTATATTTCTGCGGTTTAATTTGAAATATTTTATTGTGGTTAGAAAAAGAATGGTCTCAAAAGAGAGTGAAGTATTTTTTTTAGTTGGGATGTTGTGTAAGGTATTATGGTGATAATTGATGGGATGTATGCGCACATATGGTGTTGTTTGTTCAGTGGATCTTCTTTTCTTTTTCTTTTCTTTTATTTTCTTTTCACATCATACTGACGTCTACATTCAATATAAATACTACACTATAATTTATATAATTTTGCTCATTTTAGTTTCTCCCTTCTTTTTATTTTTGTGAGTTTTACTTTTCCATGGGATTAATTATTATCTTTCCAATTTTACTTCTGATTTTCAAATGTGCTTGATAGGTTATGTAAAAGTTAATACGATTGCTTTTCTTGAAACAAGCATTTAAAAGATTATTTCAAAAATTTTATAGTTTGTTAATGATAAATACTCACTATCCTATTAATATTTATAAGTTCCTTACCAAAATCAATTGGTGACGGGAGGAGTAGCTTACCTATATTAATATAAATTATTGTTAGGTTTCTTATATTTTTAAGGCGGGATCCTTAACACTTCTTATTCGTGAAAATTTAATTAAAAAATAGGAGTTTGTGTTTTGAAAACAACTTTTAGATAATTTCTTAATTTTTTATGTTGGAGAAAGGAAAAAAAATGAATGCCTTATAACTTATGCAATGATGTAAATATTAAATATTTATATGTGGATCTAATATGAATACGGAACAACTTATAGTCATTTTACATATATAAATAAAATAAATAAATAAATAAATAAATAAATATATATATATATATATATATATATATATAAAAGGATAATATATCATTTTATAAATAGAACAAAAGTTTAAATATATATATTTCTTGTTATGTACTATATATACAGTACAGCTTATATTGCCAAAAAAAAAAAAAAACCTCCTACATTAACAATATTTTCAAAATTTACTAGCCCAAATTTAACCTAAATACCATGACTAAATCATGATTGAAGAATTGAAATTTTTAAATCTGATGATATTATATACTGTATTATAATGTATAAATAATTAAAAAAAAAATTAAGATCAGGTGTCGTTTCGTCTCTCCGTCTTCTCTTACGTTTGCCATCGCAAAATCCCTACAAATTTCTACTTCTAAGCTTCCTAATTCGTAACCTTACAACTAATTGGGCCGAAACTCACTCGGTTGGGTTCTCTTTCGGCCCATATTATTGGAGCCCAAACCTGTACCTATATGGGCTTTCGGTTTACATTGGTGAATATTTGGGCCCATTCTCTTCAGAAAATTATGCAACACAATAAAGACAGCACTTGAGAACTACTTTATGTTCTATTTCCATTTTTCTTTCTTTTCTGTAGTTGTTGGGGCCTGGGGGTATTTAATTAAGAAATAATAATAAATTAATTCTAAATATACGGTATTATTATAATTAGGTAATCATGGAATGGAATATTAGAAGCTGTCCTCCGATAAAAAGAAAGGTCCAGTTATATGATTGCCAGAAAAGAAAAGAAAGCACATCATGCATCTTCATCTTTGTAATAAATAATGCTGAAATACAATAATTATAAAATTAAATTAATTTGTATGTAGAATCTTGCTTTTTCTTTACAATCATTAGTAAAGCATACACATTTTTTAAACGTTAAAAAAAAGTTGGAAGTAGAAAAATATTTGTTTGAATTCAACCCAACCCACCAAAAGGAAGATTGCCAAAAACATATGTGATTCGTCGATGTTGTGCTGTCTCTCTAGCTTTTTCATTTGGCTACCTTTATATCGTTGCCTTTTTATGAGTCTTTTTTTTTTTTCCATCTAATTATGACTCATGCAGATATATCAATTCTGTAGTGATACTATGATGGGCAGGAAAAAGTTATAGTCAACCAGTGAACAATAGAAAAATTCAAAACGTTGGCTCGCATCTTGTGCCTCTATGCTCAGAGATGATCCAAGAGTCAAAGCCTCGAACAAGAACTAGCATATATAAGCCAAACATTACAAGGCAATGGTGGGGACACGAGCTATTGGATCAAACCAATAGATTTGAGGTCCATGGGACAAGCTC